TAAAGTGCACCTGACCCATCCCATGGTGCTTTCAATCACCTTATGTGCATGTGAAAGCTGGACAGTGATTAAGGAAGATCATAGAAAAATCAATGCATTTGAATTAGGGAGTGAGGGAAGAATATTGAAAATTCCGTGGGTTGCCAGAAGAAGAACAACAAAAAACTGTCCTAGAAAAAGTTCAGCTAAAACTTTCCTAGAAGCAAGGATGATGAGATGCCATCTCTTGTATTTTGGACATGTTGCCAGGAATGACAGATTGGAGAAAGGTAACCATGCTTGGTAAAGTGTAGGGTCAGCAAAAAAAGAGGTATACTGTCAGTGAGATGAATGACATAGTGGCAGCAGCAATGGGTTCAGACATAACAATTGTGAAGATGGTGCACAGGATCACTATGAGTTGGAACTAATGCAGTGAGTTGGAATGGAGTGGATGGCAGGAGGTTTGGTTTGGTTTTACACTTGGCAACTGAAACTAGAGGCATCTCCAGGGAAGAAGAGAATGTCTGATTTATTGTTTATTGTTTTGTGGGATATTGTGGGATACATTGAATGCTATAAAAATAGTACTGGAAGTGTTTCTGTGACTCATCCCACCAAGTCCTCACCAAGCATCTGGTAGGCTGACAGGAGCCTTCAAAAAGTTTGTGGAGAAATTCCAATGCCTTCTCATTCAATATTTCCTCAAACTTTTTTGAAGCTGCTTCTTATGTAACTATTTGTTTTAACATCTCAAGATTAGTTATAATTCATGAACTTTGCCCTGTCTGAGGACATTGTAGCCTCTAGCATCTCTGGTACAGGAGTAAGGATCAATATACTCCAGCAAGTGTGGCCAGATTGGAGGGAGAAGAAGCTCTCCTGGGACATAACAAATGGTTCTGACGCAGATGTGTGAAAGAGAAGTAGTGCAGAACTTCAACTGCTAGGACATATATCAGAAGGTCTCTGTTCACAAATCAAGTTAAGAATTAGACATATCCTTACCTTTGTGATGCTTTCTATCCTTGGAAACTTACTAGTGCAATAAAGATCATTAGTTATTGTTGCTAAGTGCCCTTGAGTCAATTGCAACTTTCAGAGACCTTGGCTAGGGTTTTTGAGGCTTTAAATCTTTTCAGGAACAAAAAATACTCATCTTTCTCCTGAGGAGCAAGTGGTAGGCTTGAACTGCTGACCTTGTGGTGTTCAGTCCAGTGCATGTCTTACAGAACTGCCAGCACTCCCAAGGTCATTCGTATTCTGGTCTGAATCATGACCAGTAGAAAGGAAAGATTAATTAAATAGAAATAGTGGTGACTTGTAAAGAAACTACGGATACAATAGCAAGCTAGAGTATCATTAAACATTTTAGGAGGGAAGATGTCAGTAAAAAATTTAGATCTGATGACATGGCCTGAGATTCTAAAATAAAAAGAACGTTTAAGAGTGTGGAAAGCCCTAAGCCTCCCAAATTCTCACAAAGCAGTTTTGAGTGATCTATTACATTCAGTTTTCAAACATATAAAAGATAAAAGGAGAAATACCTATCCATAGATAAATATAAAAGTAGCATGTGGCTATAGCAAGAATACTAAAAGGCTAAAATCCAAAATGGGTTGAGACCTGTGAATGATGCTAAGAAGAAAATAGTATTTTGTGTGTTAGTTTTGGAGCAAAGAAAGAGAAAAAAGAAAGGATAGCCCTGTCATTATGGATGAATAGTGTGATGAGAACAGATGACAGAAATGCTTTAATTTATTTTTGGAACATGTTTGAGGTTTTAAATAAACAGAAATATGACAAAGAGAAAAGGAAGCTGATAAACTCCTACTTTGCTTCCCTTAAATCTGACAAGGAGAATAGTTTTTAGTTTAGATAGAAGAGAAGAAGAATTGATTCAAGAAACTTGAAGCCCAAGATTGGTAAAAGATGTTGAGAGCTAACCTAAATAAGTTTTAGCTTGTTGTCTCACACACGCTGATTCCTGCAAATGATATTGTTGTGCCCCTGACAGCATCAGTGTTGAGGAGCTGCTGCAATGAGAGATGGTAGAAGCATCTGGAGATTAGCAACTGCACATCTGATTCTTTTAAAAGGGTTGTTGTTGTTAAGTGCCACTGAGTTGGTTTCAACCCATCGCAACCTTATATAGGGTTTCCTAGGAGCAGCTGGTGAGTTTGAACTACCAACATTGTGGTTCAAACTGTCTTTTCAGTCCAGTGCATTAACTTATAGTACCGTGGTGGTGGTTATGTGCAGTGGAGTCTGTTCCAACTCATAGTGACCCTGTACAGGGTTTCTGAGGCTGTAAATCTTTATGGGAGCAGAAAGCCTCATCTTTCTCCTGCGGAACAGCTGGTAGTTTCAAACTGCTGACCTTGAGGTTTGCAGCCTGATTCATAATCACTATGCTACCAGAGCCTATAGTGGATTGTTTTTTATGCAGTCAATGCATTGATCTTGGACAAAACCCTAGAATGAATAAATGAACCATCAAGAGGACAGTATGCATGAACCCTTATAAAAGGAATCGGTAATCACTTGGAGCCAGCAAGGACAACTCATGAGAGAGCAGCATCATTTATTTTCCTCAAGTTACTAGACTGGACATCAGAAAAGTATTAGACCTAGTGATCAACAAAGTAGTATTATAGTGAAGAGCGCAGGTTCTAGGATCAGGATGCCAGAGATGAAATCCTCACTCTACCATTTAGTAGCTTCTTGTCTGTCTTTATCTGTAAGAGGGTGATCATGACAGTGTCTACCTTATGTTGTTGTTGTGAGGATTATGTCTATTTTGCAATATAAAGCACTTAGAACAGTGCCTGGCATACAAAATTCAATAAGCATTGCTATTGTTATCAGAATCTAGATTTCAGCAATTCACTTATGAAAGCCTCCCAATATCAGTTTGGGAAACAAGACGACACTCAGGTGAACCATTAAGTGGATTTGTAATAGGTTACCCAGAGGATGCAAACTGGTGGACGAAAGGCGCTAGTGGAATGCTATAGGGCTCTGTCCAGTTCATTTGGATGAGACTATGAAAGATTCATTGATTGAGTCTGCAGATAATATCTACTTTTGATGGATAAGATTTGGTTGGTCAGACATCAGATAAAATTTACGGACATGTATATCATTCTGCCTTTAGGTACACAAACTATGAGGTTTCACAATTTAACAGTAATGTAAAAGGACTTAAAAGTTTTAGACTATAATGTAGGTTTCATATAGGAAGACAGATGCAATCATAGTTTGCAGTAATTGATTGTTATTGTTAAGTGCCGTTGAGTCATTTCCAACTCATAGTCTCCCTGTATAAGGTTTCCAAGGAGCAACTGGTTAGCTTGGACCACCAACCCTGAAGTTCAAACCAATCTTGCAATCCAGCGTATTAATCCATAACGCCACACCAAGTACCATAAAATAGGGTCTTTTTTCACCTGGCTGATCTGATCATATCAGACCTCAAATATTGTATTCAGAGCTGAGTGTTCAGCCCAGGAAGGACACTAACAAATTTGAGACTGGAAGAGCACATTCAAGTTGACAAACCATATTACTTCAAAACTGTATTATGTGAGGTAGCATTGAAGGAACCAAGGATGGGAAAAGTAGGCCCCAGGGGAGTCAACTCTATTAAAATATTTCACTTCCTGACAAATGGAAGAGAACTGGATTGTGCTGGTATGGTGATGTTTGAATTGAGACTGGTGAATGAAAGTTATTAGGCCCAATAATAAACAAAAACTTGTAACAACTGCTAAGAGTTTGTCAGGATTAGTGGGCTGCCTTTGAAAATATCCAAGTTCTGTATTCCTAACTATAGGTTCAAGTCAGATTGGATGAGCAAGTAGAGAGAATTCAAATATTGTCTGTATAGGTAGGTGGAATGCTCTGTATTTTTGTCACTTCTTAATAGTTGCAATAACTCTCTCATTACTGTATCAAGCCCAAACTCACTTCTGAATTGATAAGAACCTCTCTTAAGTGACTTTTACTTATTCAATCATATCTCCTTACTTTTCCTAAGAAAACTCTCCCTGCATTCTTCCTTCTCTCTACTCTCAGAAAACACAGAACAAAATATCTTTAGATGAACCATTACTGTGAATTCTACACATTTTCTAGAACACTATTACAAATACTTATACTTTCAAAAGGCAATTATTCATGAGTCAAAAATATGTTTGATTTTTCCTTAGTAGAAATAGAATATAATAGAAGTAAGCAGTACAAATGGATAAATGTTCAAAATAGTTGTATAAAGCAGTAAGCCATGAGTCATGCCAAACTTTAAAGAGACGAGACTAAGGGTAAGTAAGTCCTGTTGAGGTATTGATCAAGAAGAGATGATTCATAGAAGGAAAAAAGATCTTATATCTCTTTTTTCAATATTTTTAAACAATCAATAAAAATATTGTAACTAAATATGGTGCTAATGTTTTTATTGTCAATAAGATATACATGTAAACATTTATGAATAGATTTAGAAGCTATCAATTTACCGGAGTCCTGGTGTGTTGCTGTGGGTTAATGCGCTAGACTGCAAAGTTGGTTTGAACTGCAAGGTTAGTGGTTCAAGCTCACTAGTTGCTCCTTGGAAATCCTCTACAGGGTCGCTATGGGTCGGAACCGACTTGACGGCACTTAACAACAACAACAGCAATCAATTTACCAGGTTATCTCTGGGTGGCATATGTGGTTAAGGACTACTAATTGCAAGGTTGGTGATCAAACCCACCCAGAAGCGTCTCAGAAGACACGTCTGGTGATCTACTTTTGAAAGGCACCAGCCTTTACAATCCTATGGAGCAGGTCTACTATGCCTACTTATGGGGTCACCAGGAATCAGAATTGACTCCATGGCAATTAGCAACAAAAGTATCAATTCGCCTGTAGGATTTATATTCTGTTAAAAAATATATAAGAAATTAGAAGTCTATGACACGGACCATTGGATGTCTCTCACATTATAACTTTTCTTAATATCTCATTTTATATATTTTTTAAAGGTGTCATCATCAGAATTCTTACAAATCAAAGGAAAAGAAGTTAAGCGAATGAGGAAAAGTAAATTTGGATTTCAACAACAAAGACCAAGAAAATCTTTAAAATACACGAAGGATCAAAAACTAGCTAAAAAGTAATTTTCTTAAATTTATAAATTTTACTATCTGAATATTCAGTAACATGGGTACATGAGAATGTTTTTTTTTTTAAAGGAACTAAATATTTTAGAAATTCATAGTGGAGATAAGAGTTAAGTCCTCTGTTAGAAAGAGCTGGCAGCAGATTTTCAGTTAGGATGTGTATGTTGTACTCCATGCTGGTTTCTATTCTGTTTCTGACCAATAGTCTTTGTTGATGTAACGAAAGCTAGAATAAAAATAGAGTAAAGAAAATTAAACAGCGCCATGTTGAATTTGATACCTTTGGTCACTAAATGTCTGATGTTAATTAATTTTGGTCACTAAAATGTCTGATTTGGTTAATTTTGATATAATAAAATAAATGACAACCCAACACAAAATAGATGTAGGTCAATCAATTTTCTCTGCATGCTGTAAGGTAAGCACTGGACTGCTAACTACAAGGTTGATAGTTCATATCCACCAGCTACTTCTTGGAAATATCCTATAAAGAATCACTTTGAGTTAGAGTGACTCAATGACACTTACCAGCAACAATACTGTGTCGTGTTACTTCATATTTTTATCAGACTTGCTTTTTATACAGGAGTACAACCTCAGTTTTCAAGAATACTGTATAAATGCAATTTAGATTATGGTTTGCCTTTTGCCATTTACTTTGCTGAAACTGATTTTTACCTTATTTCGCCAATAAGTTTTTATGGCTTAGTTTATTCTGGATCCTTCTTCATTTAACTCTTTATGGAGGTTTAAAGAAGCTTTAATTATTAGCTTTTGTTGTGCTTAGGGCACTGAAAGATGTGCTGGACATAGAAGACAACCTTTTTATGGCCAACCTAAAGTTTGTAAATGGATATTACTCACAATTAAGTAGCTGAGAATAGACTCATGGGAAAAGAATTCCAAAGTTTATGAAACCGTCAAATTGGCATTTAAGTGACCCTGTGCATGCCATTGCTTATCTGCATTGCTTTAAGCTCATTTAGTTAGTGAGATTATGTATTAAAACAAATAGTGACAGCAGACAACAAGTATTTTACCTTCAATAAATAGTTACTGTCAGATTATCAATGGTGCAGAAACTTCTTTTTTTTTCTCTCTCTAAAAAACCTTGAATTTTAGTGCATTAAGCAAAGTAGCATGGCCACACACAGAGTCTTTTCTTTTTTATGTCTTAGTGTTTCAAAGAATGACAAATAGTCCTGTTGAAGGAGAGTGTGCTATAAAAACACACAGTCTTTCTTGAGCATGCCAAAAATATTTGCAGATCTTCTTGATATAGAGTTCTGTTTTAATTCATTAAAAATAAGATTAGAAATTTCCACTAGAAAGCAATAAGAATGAGATGCAGATGAATATAATTCTGGACTTTAGGAAATGCATAGTGTAAAAGAAATTTGGAAAAATCTTTCTGAAAAATCTTTCTATTACTACTTTTTTTGTTGTTGTTAAAATTAATTTTGTACTTAACTTTTCTTATAAGTTACTGGTCCCTGAGTTAAATTGTTTTTTATGATATTCCAGTCATCTATTGAAAATATATGGTTATCTAATTCAGTAACCAACAGAGAGCCACTTGCTGACCTATCATGTTAGGGTGTGATGGGGAGCATAGAATTCAGATTAATTGTCATGCCTTTTTTAAGAAAAAAATTAAAATCTTAAGCACATTCCATAGCCAGGAACTGTCCCCGGCTGAATGATGATGAAGGTAAGCTTGACACCAGAGGTGTCCTTCTTCCTTACTCATTTGTATTTTTAAGCTTTGTCTCAATAACACAGAGTACCAGGATGTCTTGGCTGCCTGGAACTTCTGTGCACATCTCCAATCAGGTTTCTTTGTCTCAGGTATTTTCAAATGCTTTTGATCTACCTCCCTTTTTCTCCCTTATATAAAAATGTGAAAAAATTTGGCCCTGTTCTAGTTGGCCCTATCTTGTTTTAGAAATTGCTTAAACAACTCTCTATAATGTACATATTATGTCTTAGCTATGAACTAGGTGCTTTGCTGTGCAAATTAGTAGCAACAAGAGTAAAAATAAGATGATCATTCTTTGATAGATTTCCAAGGGCCAGTTAGAATATATGTTATTTTTATCAATTCATACAGCTACAAGAGTTAGAAATTTTTGTCTCATCTCATAGAAACCTTCAGAGAGGCTTGTTGTTGATAAATGCTTTTGAGTCAGTTCCAACTTACAGTGACCCTGTATAGGGTTTTCAAGGGGCAGCTGATGGGTTTGATCCGCCAACCTTGCAGTTCAAACCAACTTTGTGGTTCAGTGCTTATCTTATAGCACTACACTAGGACCCTTGTAATACAGTTTCTAAGTGTCAGAACCAAGATTTTGATCCAGACCCAGCTTACAACAAAGTATATAATATTGATACTAAACTAATCTCAGAGATAGCCCAAGACACAGGGAGCAGTTGATGAATAGACAAGCATTAACTAATTCAATAAAGAGTCAAAGTGGGTAGCACACTAATAGACAACATAGAAAAAAAAAAACCTATATAAAAGAAGAAACAAAAGCAAAAATCATCAGAGACATTTGCTCTTGAAATCTTTTGAGAGGCTATTTAGACATGGACATAAAGATTGGCAGCATTCTACCCATAACTAAAATTGATAAATCTTGTTGGCACTATCATTTTTTTTCTGGGAACTGATAATAATAAAAATAATTAACATGTGTCATGCACTATTGTGAACTCGTTCACTGTTTTCTTTTATCAAGAAACTGTATCTGGGATACACTCATGTTATTCTCTAGTTACTAAAGAAGTAACTGAGGTTAACAGAAATTAATTGACTTGCTTTATTATGACCAAGGGCCAGACACATTTGTAAGTTTGTTGTACTTAGAAAACAAAATCAGAGGACTCTAAACTGAAACTAAGAAGTGCGGTGACTCTCTGAGATAGATATTGGACTGCTTGCTAACTGAAAGGTCATGGGACTAGTAACCTACCAGTTTCCCTGCAGGAGAAAACTGAGGCTGCTCCTGTCATGACTTATAGGGTGACTACATAGTGTTGCTATGAGTCACAACTATCACCACTCATCTGTCAGTTTGTTATACTGTGGTGGCTTGTGTGTTGCTGTGATGCTGGAAGCTATGTCACTGATATTTTAAATACCAGTCACCCATGGTGGACAGGTTTCAGAGGGCTTCCATACTAAGACAGACTAGGAAGGAGAGGCAGACTACTTCTGAATTGTTAGTCCCTGAGAACCTTATAAATAGCAATGCAATATTGTTTGATATAGTGCCAGAAGATGAATCCCTTAGGTTGAAAGTCACTGAAAATACGACTGGGGAAGAGCGACATTCTCATCATTTTTTGTTGTTGTTGTTAAGTGCCATTGAGTCGGTTCCTACTCAGAGTGACTGTTCCTACTCAGAGTGGCATTGCATAGGTTTTCTGAGGTGTGCATTTGGACCACAGACCGTGAGGCTGGCAGTCACACTAGGACTCCACCTTCTCAAAATAGAGTTGAAATTTATGAGGTGGATGGAACAAAGTTATTTGGACCTTCATTTGCTATTGGGACTCAACTCAAAATGAGAAGAAACTGCTGCAAATATCCATTAATAATTAGAATGTGGACTGTAAAAAGTTCAAGTGTAGGAAAATGGGAAGTTCTCAAAAATGAAATGGAATGCAAAAAGATTGATATCTTAGGATGTAATGAGTTCATATGGACAGGTAGTGTACATTTTGAATTGGAAAATTATATATGCCAGGGACAAATTCAAGAGGAATGGTGTTTCATTCATCATCACAAAAAAGTATTTCAAGGTCTATCTTGAAGTACAGTGCTGTCTGTGATAGGGTAATATCTATGTGTCTACATAGAAGACCAAGGAGCTTTTGTAGCATAGTGGTTACAAATTGGGCTGCTAATCTCAAGGTCAGCAGTTCGAAACTACCAGCTGTTCCACAGGAGAAAGATGAGGCTTTCTGCTCCTGTAAAGATTTACAGCCTCGGAAACCATGTAGAGGGTCACTATGAGTCGGAACTGACTCCATGGCACATAACCACCGCCCCCACCACATGGAAGAGCAGTTAATACAAGTATTATTCAAATTTACACCCCACCAGCAAAGTCAATGATGAAGAAATTGAAGAAATCTACCAACTTCTTCAGTCTGAAATTGATCAAACATAAAGTAAAAAATCACTGATAATTACTAGTGATTGAAATACAAAACTTGGCAAAAAAGAGGAGAGATTGGTTGTTGGAAAATATAGTCTTAGTAATAAAAATGATGCTAGAGATTGCATGATAGAATGTTACAGGATCAATGACTTATTCATTGCAAATACTCTTTTCAACAACATAGATGTCAACTATTCACTTGATGAAATACAGAGGAGTCAAAGTGACTGCATCTATGAGAAGAGAAGATGAATAAATTCAATATTGCCAGTCAAAACAAGACCAGAGGCTGACTGTGGAACAGACCATCAATTCCTCTTATGCAAATTTAGGCTGATGCTGAATAAAATTAAAATATGAGCCTGAGCATATCCTACTTGAACTTAGAGACCATGTCAAGAACAGATTTGACGCAATGACCATTAATGACTGAAGACCAGAGGAGATATAGAATGGCATCCAGAATATTATACATGAAGAAGGGAAACGTCACTAAAAGGAAAGAAAGAAAAAACCAAAGTGGATGTCAGAAGAAACTCTGAAATTTGAAAGCAGCCTAACCTAAAGCAATTGAATGAAAGTGATGAAGTAAAAAAGCTGAACAAAATTTTCAAAGGGCTTGAGAAGAAAAAGTCAAGTATCACACTAAAATGTGTAAAGACCTGAGAGCGTGCTTAGTATTCCTCAAGCTGAAAGAACTAAAGAAAAATTCAAGTCTTTACTTGAAATACTGAAGGATTCTATGGGCAAAATATTGAATGAAGCAGGAAACATCAAAAGAAGATGGAAGGAATACACAGATGCACTGTACCAAATAGAATTGCTCAA